AAAAAAAAAAAATTTCTACGTGTGTATTTGGGTACAAGACTTGGGACATCAAGCCGGTCTAACAGCAAAAGTACCTTGCGCTTGTTGTGGTAAGTGATGTAGAGCACTGCCACCAGCACAGCTGCGGAAACGAGGTAGGCAAAGAAATGGCTGCTTTCCCCGTTTTCCATCATTTTGGATGGGACGTATGGAGCTTTCGCCTCTTTTCTTTTAGTCGGCTCCACACCATCCTTTCCTTGCTCTTCGCCATTAGCGAGGTCTGGTGTTTTCTCATTGTCATCTATCGGATCGTCACCAAGCCCTTCATCATCATCCTCATCTACATCTTCTGCTTGGATTTTCCCCATGGTGCTCAATTCATCTTTAGGTTTCTCTGTGGATGTGCTTTCGATTGGCTTTTTTTTAGCATTGTTTTCTGTAGGAGCTTTGTCTTGTGGACTTGCTTTTTCTTTGTCTTTGGTTTCAGGCTCCGCTTGGTTGGATTGCACATCTGTCTTATTGGGCAGATTGTTTTTCCCTTGGGTTTGCTGACCAGAATCCTGTTTTCCATCGTGCTTATCATTTCCATCCTCCTGTTGCTTTTCAGTTTGACTCTGTGTATCTGTTTCAATTACAGCGCTTTCCGGATTTTTCTCGACTGCCTTGGACTGTTCAGCTGATGTAGTCACACCCTTCTTAGTTGAGCTGGGTGACTCTTCATGTTTTGATGCGTTAACCGCCTTTCCGGTGTGGTTACCAGACACGCTTGACTGAGATTGATCTGTTCCATTTGTATCATTTACTGGTGGGCTTTTTGCATCTGGGGAGACTTCACCCTGTGCTGAATACAAAAACAAGAGCAATCGAATGTAAAGTGTGTTAACTGGGATTTTGAATTAACTATTTATTACATGCACATCTGCTTGTTTATCCTCACTACTTATTTCTTCCTCTGAAATATTATTTAATCTATTTTTCTCTTCTCTCCCGATATCTTCGTAACATTATTTATTCTTCTTGTCAGCTTCCTCCAAGTGATTACATTAAATGGGATTACTCAATTACATAATCGAATCATGTCTGCCATGAAAAAGTTTGGCAGCCTAACATTCCAGAAATCAAAGGACAATATAGCAGACGTGGATAATACTAGACTGTGACAGTGACCACTGACACTTTGAGTGCATTTGCTTACATATGTGACATACTGCGTAGACCTACTACTATAGGACTAATACACCAGTTATCAAGGCTGGATTACCCACCATGCAAAGCAAAAGGTCAGTGGGCTACAATATGTCAGCTGACCTCATTAATTTGTTAGGTTGACTACAAAATCAATTAGGGCTATGTGCATATTCCTTAAAACAGTTGTAGTAATTTCTTTAATAGTTTCACACATAAATCATACAAAAACACAAAAAAATAAGCAACACGCGCTAGGAATCCAGTATTTTTTTATCATCCTGATTTTCAACTGGGCCAATAATCAGCAGAGTGAACAGTATATGCCATTAGTATTTGGTCACATGACTTGTGTGGATCAGTGGTGCAGACTATGATTAATAGATAAATAATGCTGAGATTTTTTTTTTACTAAAAGAATGTAGATCTGTACAATAAGTTATAACTCATGAGTAATTTTCTTAACATTATGCTATGGAAAAAATGATCCAACAGTGTCCACAGTTTTATCCAGCAGGTTTGAAAATGTA